TGATTTTTTCGGGATGCATTGGTAGCTCTTGCAATGCTTCTGGTTGGTCTTCACTCCAGATGCGACAATTTTGCTTGTTAACGTACCCTTCCAACCAGAAATGAGCTTCGTCACTGAACACATTTTTTCGATAAAAATGTGGATCTTCCTCCAACTTTGCCAGCGCCCATTCACCAAATTGGAAACATTGTGGGAGGTCGTGTGGCTTCAATTCTTGCACCAGCTGTATCTTATAAGGTTTTATACTCAAATCCTGTCGCAAAATTTTCCACGTAGTGGAGTAACAGAGGCCCAATTGCTGCGAACGGCGGCGAATCGAAATTTCACGGTCATCACTAACACTGGCGGATACAGCCGCAATATTTTCTTCAGTCCTCACTCTAGGTCTGCGTGTTGGTGGTTTAATGTCCAAAAATGCAATCTGGGTTCGAAATTTAGTCACAAGCTTCCGAATAGCTCCCTCAGTAGGCCGACCAAATTGCCCATAAATTGGAAGCAGTGCTCGATGCACTCTCTTAACCGAGCATGAATTTTGATAGTAAAATTCAATAATTTGCAAGCGTTGTTCATTCGTAAGTCGATTCATGGTTAAATTATAGACCAAACTGACAAGTTTGACAATGACACAAGGCACGATTCACGCGTCATCTGTCAAAAACAGTGTTGCCAAAAAGATACATGCAAAAAAATCACCCATTATAAACTGTATCCGATCATGTGTCAAACAAATAATACCGTCTCAACCTTGTATCACATTAATATATGATTTTTACTGTACTATTTATGAAACCTGAATACTAGATCAAACAAATTTAATTTGCCTCATCGCCTAGTGCTCTTTATAACAATATATCTCGCTGTAATTAGGATGTAATGTGTGTGTTTCATCACGTCTTCAGCTGGGCCATACACATTATCTTTGTAGCATTTAACTATGGTCTGGTTTTGCAAGTACGACGCTAATGACCGTGATCGTCATATTTAGGGTTTGAAACAGCGGATGCTGCCTAGTGTATAAATGTTTGAATTGATGGATGAGCGCCAGAGTGGTTTAAGAGGATTATTGCTTGCTAGCAAATCTCACCATGAAATTGATGGAGCTGTTTGGTGAAAGAATTGATGTCATCATTTTTTTACGATGTACAAGACAATTTAAAAAGTCATTACAAGTGCGTGACACACTGGGAAAATAAATCTCATTAAACTTGTTACATGAAGCATGAGATGCGATACACTGATGTGTAAGAGGAAAGTTTCATCTATTTTTGAAATTTGAAAGGGTAAATAATGTATATTAAGACAAGTCATGTTTATATGCTGAAGTTATTGACTAAACTATCAAGAGCAAGGGCATTTTTCACGAGTCTCTGTTCAGCTTATGGCGAAACTGAAGCTTGACATTATTTAAATCTAACAAATTTCATTTAAACTCAAGGGTTGTGTGACAATGAAAGAAGGTAATTTTATGTTTCGTGAGCGAGGTTTCATGACATTTGCTTCACTAGTATCACGCACCTAAAGTTCCTATTTGCAGTAGGCTGGCAACCATTGTAGTTTTTTGTGTAAGTAGTCCTTACGGTGTGTAGCGCAGAGTGAGGCATACGCATAATTATGTATCACCTTGGACAAAAACAAATTTTTGTATCATTTAATCATATGTATCCGGCCCTAATACCATATTTCATGAATAGATGCAAACTGACTTGAACTGACACACATGAATAAATAACAAAAAAAAATGTAGGCTTTTGATTCAGGTAATGAAAATAGTATTATAAACTATAAATATTTGGAATCATAAAAAGATCTAAAATTTTCACTAAAGATATGCAGGGTGTTTCATTTAAAAAGATACAACCTTATTCAGTAGTACTTTTTAAGACATATATAAAGAATACATCCTGTTTTAAAAACAGTACAAATGAGTTAGAGGAAGGGGGTCAATTCATAGCGGGTCACCCTGTACAAACACCGTGATATCATTTTACGATCTGAAATAACGAATGCTGCGTGCTATATATAAATGTTTGAATTAATGAATGGTCTGTTCAAGAAGATTATTTAATCATTAACATAGCTAAGAAATTGTCGTTTGAATGATTTTTTGATATGTACACGAAGCAGATTAAAGAACAGTGTAGATATGTTAAGTACTTGCCAAGCATTCATATATGACTATTTTCAAATTTGGCATGTGTACAAATTCGAAATCTTCAATACACAGATCCTCTTTTGTTAGTATATGTAACATAAAAAAATATTCTACGCCAAAGGAGGATGCCATTTTTTGAACAGCATATTCTTGAAAATTGAAATACTAAATTTAGGTCATTTTATCACATTTCAAGTATCTTTATTTACATCTACATTAAATTGATAAGAAAATAAAAGAGCGAGTATCCAGAAAAAAACTTCAAACTTTGCATGTTTATTGAAATTTAGACATTTTTAAGCATTTTGAATTGCTTATTCCGAAAAGCATCTTAAGGCACCGGAGCATTGTCAATTTTTTTTTGATTTTAGAATAAATAAAAGCTTACAATCTAACACTCATTTATTTTGGTGTGTAGAGCGCGGAATAAAAGATCATAAAAACGCTTAAATTTAAATAAACCAGCCTGACACTTGCCTATTTATCTTGTTATCAATTCATGGTAGTTGTAAAAATAAGAAACTTTAACTAATTGTAATGAAACAGACCTTTATACTTACAATTTTTACTAATACCTATGATATGTTAAAAATTCAATTTTCAACGTTCTTTTTACTTTTTTTTACTATGGGCTGAAGTCATCAGATAATTGATGAATGACGAAACATGCAGTTTGGAAATTTTCATAATTTGAAATATTACCAAAAAGTCGTCAAACATACGAAATATTCAGTTTGAAAATTTTCCTAAATTAAAACCTTATCAAGAAGTCGTCAAACATAGAATTGTAGGTTGGAAAATATCTGAAGCTCTTTTAATTTTGAACTCAGAGCTCCACCGCTTCACCTACTGTTCCCAAAAATGCCAACAGGCGACATCAACAAGTTAACAAAGCAAAGAGTTAATTCTCACTTGTTCTCTTGTTCACCCATCTTTTAGTATGCTCCTCCTGTTTCTGTTCATTTAGGTTACCAATATAAGCATTTTGTTGGATTTTTGTTAAGAATTTCTGTATTGCCAATTCTAATTATCAGTTTAGAGTGAAGTCAAGTTCTGTTGTATTGCAGGTCCGAGCCCCTTCCCACTTCAGTTGGCCCATCTATTGAAATCTTAGTTTTTTCTTATCAAACACAAATAATAAAAATGTAGCAGGGTGTTATAGGTTTAAAAAATTAACAACGAATATTTTGATAATATATAGTAGAAAACACCAACTTTATCACTCCCTAATCAAATTTGCAGCATAAAAATAACACATGTTGCAATTACAGCATATCAACCTATTTTCATTTCAATGCAAAATAAGTCTACAACGCATAGGTGGCTGTGAAAAATAAAAGCCATGACAATTGTTTTTATTAATCACAGCTGTCAGAATACGTTTAAAATAGGTTTGGGTAGTTAAGGTTTTCAAAATGGGTAGAGGAAAGGTTATTAGTGAGAAAGTCTGGGAAATCAAACTCAGAAATTGCAACTTTGTTAGACTTATCGCGGTACAGTGTGAGAAATATTGTTAGAAGATATAACGTAACTGGTTCAGTTAATATTAAGCCACGATATGTGAAAAAAAGTAATATCACAAATGCCGACCGAAGAGCATTAAGAAGAATAAACGTGAAAAACAGGCGTGCCAATTATTTACAATTAAGTGCTCTGTGGAGTGACGCTGTTGGAAGGAGAATTTCGAGGTCCACAAATCATAGAGACGCCCACAAACTGGGATTTAGAACTTGCAAGGTAAGTTTTTTTATAAAAAAAAGTGAAGTAAAAACCCTAAAGTTGCACAACTTGTTTATAGGCCAAAGAAAAGCCACTATTAATTCCAATGCAAAAGAAAAATCGCCTTAGATGGGCTAAAGAACATAGACAATGGACACCTCAACAATGGTGTGCAATACAATGGAGTGATGAGGCCCGATTCGAAGTTTGTGTTGGTGACAGTCGCAGTAGAGTTATTCGCAAAAAAATGAAGCATTCCATGTTGACTGTCTGAAGAGAAAAGTGAAATTTCCAGCATCCATTATGGTCTGGGGCAGTATGTCATCACAATGAGTAGGAAAACTTCATTTTATTAATGGAAATGTGGATACAAACAAGTATTTGGCAATTTTAGAAGAATCGCTTTTACCAGTGATGGAAGAATGTTTGACATCCGGCCAAGATTTTGTTTCAGCAAGATGGTGCAGCGTGCCATACCTCAAAAAGGCTATAAAATGGATGGAAGATAATAATGTACCACTTTTGAAATGGGTTTCTAGCAGTCCAGATCTGTCACCTATTGAAACTTTAGTTATAGGTCTAAGTGATTTCAAATATGTATTTTTTACGACTAGAGTGTATCTAAAATGTTTTTGAGAAAATAAATTGTTTTAGAAGTAAATAGTTTCGTCATGTTTAGTTTATAGTCGTATTTTGGTAGAAATCTTGAAGTGGGCCAACTGAAGTGGGAAGGGGCTCGTATTATCATCTCCATTACTATTACTTCAAATATATTTTGTCAAATAATTGCGTTCGCACCTTTACAAATAGAAATACTACCTGATCAACTAAAAAAGTTGATCCACACATCCACTGGCACCTTGGCTCGTAGAGGAAACGCTTTCCGATGAGATGTTTTGGCTGATAGTCAACAAAAAATATTACTTTTCATATTAGCCTCATATGTTGATCATAGATGAGTCAAGATAAAGTGAAAGATACTATACTCATAAAGATTTTTACGATGTATTGTAAGTAAGTAGTATGTCTATGATGTTCACAATGGTAAACTTTTTGCATTATTTTGAAATATTTTTCTATTACGACTGTTCCGTATTATTGTTCGGTTTCATAACACTATCAAACTTACTTCTTCCAAGCTTGTTGTAATTGTTCCCAAACTGTTGAGCGGTTGTAGATCCCACTAGCATGCTAGTCGCAAGCAGAACGACTGGGACCAAAAGGATCTTCATTTTCCTGAAAAAAAGTTTGCTTTAGTAATTCTTTTATTTTTTATGGATGTTCATCACTGATATCCCGAGTAGGAAGGGTTTTTGAGTTAGAGGAATTGTATCGTTTCAACTTTGGATCAAAAGTTTTCCCTGAAAGCTCTAAATGCTTCAGTTTATAGGGACATTACAAATGGTCAAAAATTGTGAAAAACGTAGGCTTTTAGCACTTCGGATTTAGATCACCTATTGCTTTTAGCTAGCATTTACTGTAAAACCGTCAGATACATATTTATAATAAGATAAATGTTTCTAGATATACATGTAAGGTAATATCAAAACTGGATAAAAAGAGCTTTTCTTTTGGACAGCGAGCGCAAATTGATGACCAGCAAGTTTTACAGTGGAGAACCTACTAATAGAGTAATTATACACATAAGATATCTGTCGTATATTTTACAGATTTTCTCTTGCTTATCAAGGCAATATTGACCAAATTTAGGATTTTCTAACCTGTAATGTAGATCAGAAATTCGAATACAAATATTTAAAATCATGATTATTTGCTACATTTTGCCTTTTTCAAATTTCGAGAATAAAGGCTATATGCAAAACTACATATGAAAATTGCTCCCAAATGGTATCCAAATCTAAATCGATCCAAATTAAGATACATTCGGTCAAATCACCTTCGACAAATTTTCAGATCGATAGGGCTCCATAACGTCAAGAACGTATTTTTTACTGGCTCAATTTTGCTCAAAAATGTTTGGAAAAATTGATACACAACCCTGATTTTTTACAGATTTGTGGAAGTGAGACTTAGACCCGAGAAAAAATTAACTTTTGGGAATTTTCCTGGAAAGAAATTATTATTTTAGCAACGGTAATCAACTGGATGCAAAAATGCATATATAAAATGGGTTACTAAACCCTAGCTATTCCTTTCCTGACCCCAAGCGTCAGAAATTGAAGAAAATGCGGTTTTTGCTATTTTCGCATTTATTCGCAAAATTTCGATTGTGGAACCTAAAAGAATGGACAAAAATACATAATATACTTGGAGTTTTTGAGTTAGCGAACTCATAATACGTGATCGGTGAAGATGCGGTTTACCGATTTTTGGCGATATACAGTGGATTTTTAAGTTTTTATTAGGTAACCAAGAATTCGAAAAAAAAATCAAACAATATTTTTTCTCGAACCTATGCGTTCCACAAATCTATAAAAAAACACGCTCGTAAAAGATTATTTTCAAAAAACACGTTTTTGAGGCGACATATCGATTTGAAAATTTGGCTAAAGTGATTAAGTCCAATATACCTTAATTTGATGATTTAATGTAGTTTCGCTTATAGCCTTTGATAAAACCTTATTACTAGTCAGTAATGTGGTCAAATCTCAAACTTTTGAAACATGCATTTATGCTTAAGTCACAATTGTAGTTGAATATAGCGAGGAAACTTTAAAATTGAATAAAGACTACATTCCATGTAATTCCACAAAATATTTTATACACAATTAACTTACTTTATTACTACTGAATAATATTATTCTGCTGTTCCATATTATGCGTGGGAAGTAAAAAGTAAGAGAGACCGTCATGCCAGTGCAAGAAAGTGGATTTGTTCTTTATTGTTTACGCATTGATAGTTATCTTCAACGGTCGTTTTTCTGACTGGATATACGTTATCTCTTCGTTCAGCTGATGCAGCTGATTAACTTATATAATGATGGTAGTTAAGTGGAGACGTGGACGAGGTACGTGACGTACTGACATACGCACGACCTCGGGTAAATATTTTGCGAAATTACGCGCGAAAATGATGATTAATTCATATTAAACTGTCATTTTAGTTAACAATGCCTAGACCAATAATGCTGGAAAATTATTCTTAACAGCCTGAATCGTGTTTGCTATTTGGCAACTCCTCAGCAGGCTGTAGGCTTGGTCTCGGTGAACAATGAACGAAATCTGAGCAACTCTTTTCAGAGTATAAGGTTTATCAGTTCCACCAGTTAGCTAACTATTTTCACTTAAGCAGTTGCCGATTCTGGTAATAGATGACACCAATGTGTGCCTTATTATCGGTAAGGTTATCTCTCTTGGTGGCGACGTTGAGTTTCGTGTTGCTTTTAGGTTCTATGCGTCGTAATGGGAACTGGAGCAATGACAATTCAGACAAAAAAAAAACAAAAAAAAAACGACCTCGTTGAGCACGGGCATCACGTATCTTGAAAAGTGCCATTATGCCGATTTTTTTGACAATATGCTGTTTTTTTTGACATTATGTAGGTTTTTCTACAAGATGTTAGCTTAGCACTTAGTTGTACGTGTTGCCTATACGTCATGAGGCTTGTTACCAATCTTTGGTTCTGATGTGATGTAGAATCTGCTTCTGAGATGGCATTACTGGAGGTCTAAGCTGTAAGTGGTATGTGATGATGATAATTACATTGGGTTCTTGCCTCAAATACACTTAATTGAGATTCAAAGCTAGAAATTAGTTTCGCAGTCACTTTTTCTTATCCATTCTGGAATTTACCTAGACAAATTTGCTTAATTTCAAAAATGAGAGTGATAAATAATTATATTCACTGTACACTGTCGACTTACAAGCCATATACAAGCTACCATTAATTACACACAACGCGAGCGCGGAGATGATTTCCCGTAATTCTCCTCAGTTTTTTGTAATTTATAACTTTGAACATATATAACATCTCTTCAGAAAGCACAACATAAAAATAACCCTTCGGGCACAGCCAATATATATACTTCATTGGCAGCATATTCAGTAATGATTTTCTCACACAGCAAATATCACTGATTTTATACACATGCAGAGCAATACACATAATCATCCAGATTACGATCTTGCTATTCAACCAACTTTCTTTTCAGAGATAAAAACTACAGACTAGGACCACTCGGCCTCAAAACACATGGAACCAATAATGCGAGTAGTTTAGTTGAGTGATTCCTGCCAAGGAAACAAGGGCGTACGAGCTATGCATACATTCTAGCTCCATCTCAGAGATCCGCTGCGTTGTACCTCCTCACTCGACGGTCTGGAAAATTTTCTTTGGACGGGATTTAAACCCGCACAGACCACAAGGACAAAGTTAATAGATGCTTAGCAGCATCAACCCCCTTCCTCTGATATACTTCATGATTTTTCCGATCCCTATCTCCATCTTTCGAGCTTCAAGTTATTAACTGACGTTCCTCAACCAACCCTTTTTGTATACATTGTTATCGACAGATGCATTGTCCTTTCATAATAAGAAAATGATTAACTATAAGCCATGCCCGACGATTTCGCTACATACATACACCATACATTTAACAAAACTTCTGACGGGCCATCACAATGCATACTTAATATTTTTGGCATTTCACATCCTTTCCAACGACGATCACCGTCTATTCAGGCGATTGTTCAGCGAGCTTCGCACATCATTCTGCCTGAATTGCCGGCTGAGATCCTAATCGCGGTTAATTGTGTGATGCAGCGGTACTCCTATCTTGGTGCTCTCACGCGTACCCACACATCCATACGTTCTTACTTGCGAAACGCCCTGAGGTACTATCTTGCAACATTTCCTTTGCCGAAAAATTGTTGACGATCTTTTTCAAGGAAACGTTGTGACCTTAATTGTGCAATTTCGTATACTGAGGCAGCCACTATAAATCGGGTAGTTGCTCTAGAACTATAAATATGAATCCATAGAAGAATGCTATAGTTGCGAAACAAATAAATGAAAGTTTCACAAAGGGCTAACCTTGCCAATCGTAAAATGTGAAGATTAGAGGTAATTAATAATAGAGTTGTCTACAACTCATAATAAAAGGCAAGATGAAGGAACGAAGAGGAGAGGGCGGAAAACTTGCATCATGGCCGAAGAACATTCGCGATTGTACCGCAGAGTTGGCGAGCATTTTATCTTCACCAGAATGATTGTCAATGTCACCGAGACAAAAATAGGTGTAAAAAACTTTACCTTGCAAAATTATTCCACTTTCTCGAAGCTCTTGGAGCATGGCTGCCTCCGGGAATGTTGGCCCATAGAATTTGCATATTACGAATATTGGTGACTTTTAGGATTGAACCTACCCTCCCGCATAAGAAATTTTGCTAAACACTGCTTTTTAAGCAGTCTTGGGACCTGATGCACTTTCAAAAAAAGTTGCCGATTATCGGCCCCTCTTGTTAAAAATTGCTGCTGCGCCCATGACTAAGAATTAAGGCGAAGTTGTTTTGCTGTTAAGATGTTAAGCAAATGTCTGAGCTAGCTGCAAAAAGCGGTGAAATTATAGAAAGAGCTCAGAGAAGCAACCGTCATAGAATTGTAAAGTAAGCATCAACTACTTATCGACGGAGAGGATATGTACGAGCCCCTTCCCACTTCAGTTGGCCCAATTATTGAAATCTTAGTTTTTTCTTATAAAACACAAATAATAAAAATGTAGCAGGGTGTTATAGGTATTTTGATAATATATACTAGAAAACACCAACTTTATCACTCCCTAATCAAATTTGCAGCATAAAAATAACACATGTTGCAATTACAGCATATCATCTTATTTTCATTTCAATGCAAAATAAGTCTATAACACATAGGTGGCTATGAAAAATAAAAGCCATGATAATTGTTTTTATTAATCACAGCTGTCAGAATACGTTTAAAATAGTTTTGGGTAGTTAAGGTTTTCAAATTGGGTAGAGGAAAGGTTATTAGTGAGAAAATTCGGTTACTGATAATTAATTTTTTTAATTCTGGGAAATCAAACTCAGAAATTGCAACTTTGTTAGACTTATCGCGGTGCAGTGTGAGAAATATTGTTAGAAGATATAACGTAACTGGTTCAGTTAATATTAAGCCACGATATGTGAAAAAAAAGTAATATCACAAATGCCGACCGAAGAGCATTAAGAAGAATAATCGTGAAAAACAGGCGTGCCAATTATTTACAATCAAGTGGTCCACAACTCATAGAGAGGCCCACAAAAGTGAAATAAAAACCCTAAAGTTGCAC